TTCTGGATGTGCTGAGGAATGAGGCTGGGCGACCAGCGTGTTGGTACTGTTGGTGGGAATAAGTGCATCGGGAATAGGCCGTTTTCTCTTTCCCATGCTGGAGCCGATGTACTGGCACGAGGGCACCGGCTGCAGGCTGCCTGCCAGCACGTGTGAGCAGCGGATCCATGCACACACCGACGCTCGTCGCAAGAGCTTGTGCGATCACGGTGGCTTTTGTGGCGTGCCTTTATGGGCGCCATCCCGTCGGAGAATGTGTGAAGCAAACGGCTGACTGAGCACGAGGAAAATGAGTGCGTGCACTGTGCCGTGTTTCAGCGTCGATGGCAGAGCGGTAAAAGCCCGCGCTGGCAACTGAGATCTTTGCGTCGCGAGGGATGTCGGTGTTGATTTTGGATTGCCGAGGGTGAAATGATTTCGCTGCTGCCCGTGTGTGTGGCCACTCCGGCGGAGGGCGAACACAAAAGGGAAGGATGCAGGCGCTGCGTGTGTGTGCGGGTGCCATGCAACAGCGTCACAACAAACATGCTGCGACTCGGCGACCCTCACATCGTTGTGGTCCTCACGCACAGCCGAGGCACGGCCCACATCGCTGCACTTAGTGGACGGAGTGAGGCATCTTTTGAGGCGCTGCAGGGAGCAGGATGTGTTGACGCGGCCACGACGTGCATGGAGTGTCACGATGGCACAGTGAGCTGTGGCTGGTGGAATATTTGCTTCTCGGAGGCAACAGAGAGAGAGGGAGAGAGAGCTGCTCCTGCTGCTGGCGTCGTTGCTGCCTTTTGTGGCCTCCCATGCCGATTATTGTCTGTCCGCTGATCATGGGTGGTGTGCGTCCACTAGTGACGTCGTCTGCAGGCATTTCACAGCACCAACGAAACGCACATCACGTCGCATGCTTTGGCTGTGGGTATGGTGTCGTGAATGCAGCCGGCATTATTTTGCCCGACTCCTTTTCGCTGCTTTGCGACAAATAGATGCGTCGCCGCCCGAGTCATTCACTGCAGCTCCGTGTGTTGTACTGCCAGCACAAGACTCTCGTGTTGTCTGGCGCCTGGCTGACGGTCAAACACCACTGCGCTGGGACATGCAGGGATGTGGACTGCCGCTCACGGTGTTGGGCACCGCTGTTTGGATGCGGCGGCCACACGAGCGGATGTATTGTGGCACAATGAAATGCGTGAAATACGCGGAATCACAGCGGCTGCAATAATATCAGCGGTGTGGCACCACGGAATGTATGCGAGAGTGATGCATGACGAATCACGGTGGGCGGCATGCGAGGGAAGTGCACCGCGGCAGAGCGTCGCCCCGCCCTCAGCCTGCAGGGGAATGTACGCCCACAAAATATATGGCCGAGGCACCACCAAACATGCATGCCCTTCTGTGCACCAATAAATAGGAGCGAAGGTGCGCTCTGGTGCGTGGGAGTCCACTCACATGGTTTTTATTTCCACCACAATAAACGGTGAGGAATCATGTGTCACAGCGACGAATGGAGGAAACGCCTATTGCAACACTTTACTACCGAAAAGCAGGAACAACACAAACCGAATTATTGGCTGCACCAACACAAGAAAAACCCACAAGAGGAAAAACAATTGGGCACCCTGCAGAAACCCCCACACACGACCCAGGCATAAGGGTTTGCCCTCTGAAGAAGCTCACAGACATATGCAGACATCTCCCACCCTCCAAAAAGAAACACAAATAAATGGTTGCCTGCTTTATTCCATTCCCTGCGCTCATTTTTGCGTGTGCGGCTGCAGCTGCGGTGGTGGCCGCGCTTGCATGAAGTGGTGTGCGCTGAATATGAAGGAAGGCCAAAGGCGACTGAACTGTTTTTGTGATGAATATTGGCTGCGCTTCCCGTGGACCAACAATCCGCGTGGTGTACGGGGATTTTCTTTTTTGTTACTTTGCTGTTGTGTTGCTGTGTGTGCTGCACCCTCTTGTATGTGTGTGTGCGTACCCTCCGTGAGGGGTGCAGACACGACGGACCGCTCTTGCCGTATTTGCATGCGGTGGAGCCTTGTGTGCCGCTCCTGTTTGCTTTTTCCTCTTCCATCTGTGTGTTGGTGCTGCGGCAGGGCTGTGTGTGTGTGCCTGCTGCCGTGGATTGGAGTGTGTGCTGTGCGTGGTGTGCGGCGTACGGTGCATGCCTGGCTGCTGCCCTCTCCTTGTGTGTGTCTGCCGCACCCCTCTTTTTCCTTGTTGCTCTCCATGTCCCTCACTGTGCAGATCAGCTCCACACCACTGAACGACCACACTCACGATGATGACGACGTACCGTCTGCTGTGCGCCCTGTTGGTGCTCGCCCTGTGCTGCTGCTCGTCCGTGTGTGTGACAGCAACTGGGGAAATGCCTCCACAAAATGCAGCGGGAGTTTCTGTCACAGGGGGGAATGCCGAGTCGGGAGAGGAGGCGAGTGCTCAATCAATTGCTGGTCTGGGAGGGGAAGGAAGTGGTGAACCGAGTGACGATTGTTCTGCTGGGAGGCTGGCCCACGGTTCGGGGGGAAGTGGCTCGGGTCGTTCGAAAGAAGATGAAGGTAAAGCAGAGGAATTAAACCAGCAGGGAGGAGCGCCTCCGTCACCACTACCAATACCACCAGCACCAACAGGGCCGATAAATTTGCCGAGGTCAGCGGAACCCGGTGAACCAGCGACCTCCGGTGTGACAACAGAACCACAATCGGCGCAGCAGCAGCAGTCACAGTTGCCGGCGGCAGGAAACCAAGGCGTTACGGGCGACGGTTCGCCAGAGCCAGGGACGGCAGCCGCATCAGGTGCCACGCGGAGCACACCAGCATGGGGTGACGCTGAGCCAACATCCCCATCCCCAGGCGGCCAGGCTGCTGCCAGCGGTCCGGGCGAAAACTCCGCAGCGGAGGGGACTCCCAACGGCACCCCGCCGTCTGCTGCCGCGGTGACGCACGACGACAATACCAACACCACCGACACGGCCACCAGCGAGAGAAATTCTACGGCGGCAGGCATGCTGGCTCCACTTTCCTCCGCGCCCAGAACGAAGGCGCTGGAGAGCGGCGTCGGAAATGACGCCTGCTTCCATGACACCCGTCTGCATGCCCCGCTGCTGCTCGCTCTGGCTGCGCTTGCGTACGCCGCTCTGGGCTGAGAATTGTGTGTGGGCTGTGCGTGCCAGCACTCAGCCGCGGGGACTTGTGCGCGTCTATTGTTTTCCTAAGTAATAAACACGAAAAAATGATGATTGTGTTTTACTGTTTTTATTTGCATTCGCTGCCCTGCTGTGTGCTCCTTGCCGCTCCCCGCATCCATCACGTTGAACGCATCCCAGACACACTCATGTGCATGGCACGCACACAACTGTTTGCGTGGAATCACGTTTGAGGATGGGTGCGTGCGCGCTGGAGCCATACTGTGCAGCCCTTTGTTTTGTGTTTTTTTATGTTTTACTTCATTGCTGTTCTTTTACCTGTGTTTTGTTTCTAATCGTTTTGTTTGGGTTTTTTTCTGCTTACTTGCTGCGGGGCGTTGTGTGTTTTTCCCCTTCACTGGTTTCAACTGTCTCATGGTGTGTGTGCGCTGCCGCTGCTGGGCTGCTGCCATTTGTGACTGTGCGGTGGCTGTGCGTGGTGTAGCGGCCGTGTCTCTCCTTTTGCTTCCGCTCTGCGTTGACGTGTTGTTAGTCTGTGCTTAAAGCTACACGCAGGTGACAGGAGTGATGGCGATGATGATGGCTGGCCGTGTGCTGCTGGTGTGTGCCCTCTGCGTGCTGTGGTGCGGTGCCTGCGGTGGCTACGCGTGGGATTTCAACGGAAACGAATCGTTGAATGAACAACATTACGGAGCAAACGGCACGTACTGCAGGCTCAACAGCAGCTTCCCTTTTTGCGAAGAAAAAAGAAATGCAAGTAAACTCAAAGAAGCCGCCTTAAAGGCGAGTAACGCTCAGAGCGGGACTGGGAGTGGTCAACCGAATGCCGATGGTTCCTCTGGGGGGCGGGACAACAGTTCGGAGAAAAATGATTCGGATGAATCGGAAGAAACAGACGAAGGCCCACAGGAATCACAACCGCCGAATGGGAACGTAACAGAAACACCAACACCAGCAACAGTCACCTCCGCTCAAACAAGTGCCACGAGGACGCCTGACGAGAGTGACGGCAGCACCGCGGTCTCCCACACCACCTCCCCTCTTCTGCTTTTTCTTGTTGCGTGTGCGGCTGCTGCTGCGGTGGTGGCTGTGTGAGAGTGAGGGAGAGAGAGCCGTGCACCGCCCGCACACACACTCGTCCTTCTCTCTCTCTGTGTGTGTCCCCTTGCATGGACTCTCGCCCTCACCTCAGCCTAATAAGCACACACATGATTTGTTCACGTATTTATGCATGCACACCCATGCAGGCCCGTTGGTTCTCTCTTTTGAGCCACACGCACCGCTGCCGTCCTGCCTGGCTGCATGGTGGAGCACCGTAACAGTTTTTTTTATTTACTTTTCATTGCTTTGAGTGGGCGACCTCTCTCTCTCCCTGTGTGTGTGTTTTGCTTTACGGGAGCAATGAGAGTGTGTGTGCTTCGGTCGTCCCACGCTTCGGCTTCTTGTTTTTTTCTTTTTCTTTTTTTTTTTTGTTTTCTTCTTTGAGTCTCTGCTCGTGTTGTGGTTGATTGCACTCATTCCATCCTTTTTATCAGTGGCTTGCATTGACTGCGGGCGTTTAAATCTCCTCTTTGTGTTCTCATACCGTTTCTTTCTTTTTGTAGAGGTGTCAGCCTCTTGCATCCTCGTCAGGCCATTACGTTTTTTCTTCCACATGCGCCATGCGTCGGTTGATCCACGTCGCCCCGCGGCCTGCAGTGCTGCTGCTGCTGCTTGTGATGATGCCTGCGATGTGAATTGCCGGCGGGTGTCCTGCTGTCATCCTGACGTATCCCTGTTTCCCTGACGATGCGGTGCGTGCCGACGGCGTGTGGGCGTCCCCGGGTGTGGTGGGAGACGTGCCTCTCGGAGCGCAGGATGCGTTGCAGGTGTGCAGCGTCGTTTGGAGGGACCGATGGGTGCCCGTCCGCACCAAGGCGCCAACAACGGACCCGTGTGGCAGCAGGAGGCACTGCGGCTTCTCCTGGTGTTGCACAGCGAATGCATTGGACGGCGCGTTTGGCTGCAAGAATGGTGTTGTGTCGTCTGCGCACGGGAACGCTGTTGCCGAGGAGGTTGTCCCTGCTGCTGTCAAACTGCATGCGGATCGTCTGCTCGTGCAGCCACTGGAGGGTTCGTTGATTGTGCCGTCACTCACCACGGGCAGTGTTTGCAGTCGGTTCACTGTGCCTGCTGAGCATTGTTCCGCTGGTGCTGCCAATTCTGACACAGTGCTGTGCGTGGCTGCTGCGCCGGGTGGTGTGTGGGCACTGCCGTGCGCCACGCTGGAGGATGGCCGTCCCGTCGCTGGCGCCATGAACATTGCCCGGCCGCTTTGTTTCACGGACGCCTCGCCACCCGCCTCGCCGCGCACCTGATGGCCCATGCTGTCGGGTTTGCCTGCCCGCACATGGCAGGCCGCGGCATGGTGAGGAATGCTGCCTGTGTGCGTGGCGGGGCGCTGTTGGTGGTGGTGCACTCGACGACTGCCGCGATGGCAGCGAGGGAGCACCACGACTGCGACGACGTTGATGGCGTGGAGCTGCAGGATGGCGATGGGGACGGGAGGACGCTGGAGTCGCACCGGTCGCGGTGCCACGCGAGGGATGTGTGGATGGCAGCGATTGGGGTGCCGGCGACTGCACGGAGCTGACGCTGGCTGCATTGGCTGTCCTGGGCTGCATGAGGGTGAAGCGGGAGATGGTGGAGCCGACGCGTTGGTGCAGTAGTCGTGCTGTGCGCTGCAGCAGCAGAGGAATTGCTCCGCACTGAACATGGGTGAATATCTTCGCATGCTGTGCGAATTGGGCGTTCCCGTCGAATGCTGCGCGTCGGATCGGTATTCCAGTGGCTGGTGTTTGGGAGTGTGCATAAAATGTCAGCAGAGCGCCCGATGGACAGCTGCCCCATCATTGATCCCGCACTGGATGTGAGGGGTGCTGACGCTGTTATTTGGCGGGGAGAATGTTTGTTTGCGATGCCCGGGGATAGGCCCTCTTCGTGGTGTCCGGACACGCTTCCCACGAACACGACAGATGCGAGGGACCCGGAGGAGACGTGTCGGAGTGCTGCCATGCATGCGGCGTTGGGGTGCCTTGTCATGCAGGTGCGTCTTAGAGTGGTCGAAAAGGGCGGCGTCCGTTGGGTCCCATGCACGGACGGGGCGACGATTGCGTGGGCCACTCGACCGCACGATGAGGGAAGCGTTGCTTGCCGTGACCACGCGCGGGTGTGCGCGATATCCGCCACCGCCGGCAGTCTCCTTCCGGTGGTTCCGTGGGACGGCGAGGAGAGGGTGTGGAGCAGGACGGTCCCACCGGCAATTACTGGACAAGGATTGCGAGGGGGCATCCGTCCCCGTTGCGGAGAGCATTGGTCCCGGCCGCGGCACCCCACCGAAGGATGTCGACTCGGCTGCACCCCAGAAGAATCCGTCGCCCGAGGAGAGGCAGTCCCCCAGATGCTCCGACAGGGACGGGGTGATCTCGCCCAGCGACACCGCGGGTGCGCCGCAGGAGGCTTTGAAGAAGAGCGGTCTTCCGTGCAACTGCGATGTTGCCGCCGATGGTGTGACGTCTGTTGTGGGACAACCAGCAGGAGATGAGGCCGCCAGCGACGGGGCCGGTGGCGGTGCCACAACCACGGGACCCAAGGGCCCTGATGCCGCTGATGCCGCGCAGGGCGCCTTGGACCCTCCGCGGAGCGATGATGATGCGGCGGTGGGGCGCGGGGATTGGGAGAGGGACCTGACGGACGCCCCGCCTCCGATCCACGGCAATGACGCTGCTGCAGCAGCTTGTCCCTGTCCGCCACTTCTTCTGCTTGCCGCTGCCGCCGCCGTGACACCACTCTGCTGAGCGGCGGCATGGGTTCCGTTGCACGGCGATGCGACTGCTGTTGCCTCCTGCGTGGCCCGCACTCAGCAGTGGATGCAAGAGAGAAACAATCCATGCCAATTGATATGCCTCGCTCTATACACTTTCTGTTTGTCTGTACACTTTATGCCAGGGACATGCTCTATACACTCTGCCTCTCCTGTGCTGGCTGCCGATGTCGAGGCATCACGCACCTTTTTTCTTTTTGATGGTTTACG